CAGTTAAAATGCTAAGTCTGCTACAAAGTCACCTGTGTTTCAATATGTGCCAGATTAATATGTGCCAGATTAATATGTGCCAGATTAATATGTGCCAGATTAATATGTGCCAGATTAATATGTGCCAGATTAATATGTGCCAGATTAATATGTGCCAGATTAATATGTGCCAGATTTCAATATGTGGGAATGCCAAGAAGTTAGAGCTCATTTGCATTTCCAACCACTACTGAAAGTTGCTCCTCAAAATTATTTTGTTTGATAATGAAGGAGTAACTTAGAGTCCCAGTTTAATAATCCCAGTGTTATCTACTAAAATTCATTCTCGTGTTACTCGTCATTCAATTAAGTCTCATCCTTTTTCTGTTACTGTTCCTAAGTGCTCCAAAAACTCTTATTCGCCTAGTTTTTTTTCCTTGAACAGTTCTTTGGAATTCGCTTCCTTCATCTTGCTTTCCTGATTCATATAATTTGCAATCTTTTAAGTCGTCTGTCAATCATTATCTTGCTTTACAATCTCCATCTTTTCTCTTCCAGTAACTTCCATCACTAATTAGTGGTTGCTTGCAGCCTTGTTGGAAGCGAAGATGTTTAAAAAAAAAAACAACAGAACATTAAAAAACATTTGATATATATTAAAAACATTTATTTTAAATAAAATTTTTGCAAGGGTTTATCATAAAAGCAATAAGTTTAGGCTGTGACAACCACATGGTATAAAAAAAGCTCTTTCCTTGATTTCTAAAATCTTGGCTTAAAACCTTTGTTGCAACCTTTCATATTTGCACCTTTGTCATATACTTGGGTGCAACAACCAGAAATAAATAATCCTAAATCATTACACTCTTTATTTTTTAAATAAATTATTATTTTACATTATGTGTCTTTATATTTACATTATGTGTCTTAATTTTTATAGTGTTTGTTATTCAAAATATTTTTTCCAGAAGTATGATCGTACGAAGACATCATCACAAAAAACTGAAGCTCATCCAAATCCATCGGTACAATCATATTCAATAAATAATAGGGAAGAAACGACTAATGATACAAAATCACCTGGTTATTCAGATAATCGAAAATTAGATGCCAAAGATCGAAGTAATTTTTTTATTATTTTGTTCTAAAAACATATTTGTAAGTTATATCTACTTTGTTTTTCAGATTTCAATAATCAAAATGAGTTTAAGAATTTTGTAATTGATTTTATTCTGTTTGATGCTAATTGTTACCAATATTAGTTTTATATTGAAACTGTCAGTGTTTAACACTATTTGTTTTAGTTTAAACATTAACTACAAACTCTACAAATTGTTTTGATCAAAAACTTTTCAGTCTTCAAAACTTTTCACTAAGAATATATTAGAATAGTATTAAAATATTTGAATAAGACTTATAACTCTTATGTTATTTATGACTTAAATCAATATCAAAACTAGTCTAACAACCTCCCTAGTGTAACAACCTAGTGTTAATATTTCCACCACCCAATCTATTAAAGACTTTTTTTATTTGTTTTATTTTTAATAATAATAATCATTTATTTTTTAATCCATTGAAAATTATAACATGACATTTTTATTGGTGAAGATATTCAAAGTTTTAGAGGTTTTTAGATAGTCATAAAAATATTTTCTTTTAGAGTTTCAAACATCGCAGAGTGTTAATGCAACATACACCATGAGTGTTAATGCAACATACACCATGAGTGTTAATGCAACACCCTGAGCAAATTACTTTTATAACTTAAAATGGGTACAATTTTAATAATCAATAATCATAAAATAGTTGCTACATTTCATTTTCAGATGGTATTATATATTTTATATTACATATATGTTATATTATATATATACTATTTGTATATATTACATACTGGGGTTAGGAATACTGGGATCAAGGTGTTTAAAACAATTTATAGTTGCCGAAATATCGGTATAGAAAAAAGTGAATATTACTATTTCAGAATTTGAAATAATTTCACTATTCAAAAATTTTTAATTGATCTTATAAATGGAAACAAAATTCATTGTACAAAATTAAATGTGGTTATTTTAATATGCTGTAATATTTAAATTAAAATATTACATAAAATTTCAAACAGTAGATAAAATAATTTCTTTTTATTCAGAGTATGAATTATACATTTTATTATTGTTTAAAACTTTTAGAAAATTTGTATTTTATATCGATTATTCAAGATTTTGAGGAGCATTCCAAAGCAAATGATAAAAATTCATTGTGGTGTCATTTAGTAAGAGAAAAAACAGGACAGTGTGCTAAATTCAATTGTGTAAGAGAATAATATAAACACATAGAGGCTCTACAAGCTGTCTTCGTACCTATTCAAAAATGGTTTATGAAATCAATTTATTGAAAGAGGTGTAGGTAGCACCACTGTTTTAGATTCTTCAGAATTTTTACCGAAATTAAAACCTTCTGTAACTTTAAACAACTTTTTTAAAAGTGATAAAATGGATGACTTATTACCAGCTGTTTTAGTTAGGATGACTATATGTGATGGTTATATGATATCAGAAAAGGCTTTTATATATATATACAGGCTTGGTCGGGAAGCGGGTGCGATCGCACTCGATAATTGACCACAGAAATCATATTTAGTTGCATAAAACTGGCCAGATTTTTTAGTTGTTTTGAGAACATTTCAAAAACAAACGAAAAAGCGCAATAAGATTAACTGGACCGATGAGAGGCAGTTGAAAAAAAAAAAAATAGCTTTTAATGCGAAAAAACTTTAAGCACAATAAATTTATTAGAGCAATTATTTTTGTAACGTCGCTCTTTTATAATTTTTTTCATAAAATTATAAAAATAAAATAAAAGCGACATTTTTTATATAAAGTAACAACTATAAAGAAACAAAGGTTTTTTGATTTATCAAAGGGTATATATAATTTTTATTTAAATACTTATGTCTTATTTCTAGTTGCGGATTAAAGAGGTGGTGTGGGGGTAGCAGGGCTATAGCCCCGGGAACACAGTTACTATTGAAAGTATTTTTGTTTACAAAATCAATCGCACAAATTGCTTTAAAAGATTACATTTGAATAAAATACAAATACATAAAGTTACATAGATAAAAATATATTACATACATAAAAATACATTAAATACATAAAAAATTCATTCCTTATATATACAAATAAGAATATACTAATAAAATCTCTAATATATTTCCAAAACGTTGACAAGTTAATAAATATAAATTTAAAACATTTATTATTGTAAACAAATAATGTTAGTTTAAAACATTTTTAGCTTTGTAGATGTGGCTCTAAGAATTAAAATAATAGTTCGTTTGATAGTATATTTTTAAAATAATTTATGCTAGAAAGCTAACGAAAACGTAACAAAATTCAAATAATACTCTAGAAATTTTGGTTAGTATTTTTTAAACCAATAGAATTAGTTGTTCGTAGATTTGGCGGGTTTTTTGTGTTCATGAGTATTATTTTTTATTTGAGAATTTTCAAGTTTGTGAATGTTTCCATGTAAGTCCGTAAAACAAAAGATTTAAAAATTTACGATAAAATGAACTTTTTTTGTGGACAAAAAAGGAAACATACATAAACTTGAATGTTCTCAAAACGAATAAAAAATCTGGCCGGTTTTTTGCAACTAAATATTATTTCCGTGGTCATATTCTTCATTTCATATTCTTCATTTGAGAGCACCTTATCATAATTTTTTAATTGCAGCAATGCTTTGATAGTTTCGTTGCATAACTTTTTTGTCTTTACTTAAAATTCCCGTGAATTAAGAAAAAACCTGTTCAGCCTAGAAACAATATATAAGTTTTAATGTATTTTTTTGCATGTATTAGTTTACTGGCTAAAAGTAATACATAAGACTGCAATTAACCTCTGCATTTGAAATAGATATTGCAATCCATATCTCTATAATATGCAGAAAATTCTTTATATTAAACTTTTCCACTTTATGGAACATGCATACCCAACACTTGTTGGGTGTGCATGAAAATGACAAATATGCAAATGAGCAGTTTTGATTTCCAAGACTAAATAAAAAAGTAGTAAAAATACTTGGCTAATCATGCAATTAAAAAAAAAGATGAGAACCTGAACAAAATTCATATACCTAGTCGATCTTCTTTGAAGTTGTTTTCATCTAACAGCAACTTGAACCGTAATAGCGGCGGATATTAAATCTGTACAAGTTTTGCAACTATAAAATTAAGAATCTTGCCGAATACACTTTATTATGGAGAAATTCATCTAGACGTTTCATGAATAAGTTTATATTTTTACATATTTCAGAAAAGGTGGTCAGGATTGTACATTGTATATCCGTGAAAGGTTGTCAGTTTATTACTAACATCTTTATCTTTAAAAATTTTTTTCAAAGCATTTTTTTGTGTGGAAATGCAACCTTTTTATCAGAAAATTTAAGAAAAAGAAGAATTTCGTTATTTAGTGTAGGAAAAAGTTCTCCCTGTTTGAATGCTAAAATGCCATTTTTTTCAACAAAATCATATATTCACTTGTTCTTTTAAAATACTGACAGCTTTGAGGTGATATTTAGCATTTGCTATATGATCTGCAACATCATTTTTCTTTATTGTAGACAAACCTTTAATCCCATTAAATACAACATTTTTTATAACTCCCTTAAATTTTATTAGTATTACTTTGACGATGGTAGCTTTTGTGCTATCATCCTCATTTGAAATGTGGATGATAGCTTTTGTCCTATCATCCTCATTTGAAATGCGGATGATGGCTTTTGTGCGTTGTCAAAGTAATACTAATAAAACTCCAATTTCTGGGAAGTTTTCCACAACATCAATTTTTACCATTATTATGTGTAAAATAGACTATATAAATAGGTGTAAAATGAAAAATTATCCCAATTTAATGATCCCATTAAAGTGAAGTTTTTTATAAGATACTTACATAATACCTGCATACATAAGAGTGAGTTTCCACTCATACGTTTTTCTATGGGAGCGGGAAAGGGAAAGGAAAAATAATCATGTGAGCTTGAGTAGTATAAATTTTTCCAAAGAAAAACTATGCATGCTCACGTGGTTATTTTTTTCCTTCCCTTTTCCCTTCCCGCAGAAAAATGGATGAGTGGAAACCCACTTTAACACTGCGTTAACTATCTACATAACACAAAGTTAAAATGATGCAATGTCTATTTTAACTAAAACGCCACAAAATAGTTTAAATGAAAATTTTATTTGCATGCGCAATAAAATGGAATTCCATTTGAATTTTTAAAAAAACTCTCTTAAAAAATATTTTGGCTTTTTATAAAAAAATAAACGGTTACTTTTTTTGTAGAATGAAAATCTAGTTATTAAATTTTTTTAAATTGTTTTTTTTTAATGAAACATAATAACTAAGATAATTTTGTTGCTTACATTTTTTGACAAAAAAATGTAAGCAATTTTTTACAAAAAATTACAATTTGTTAATAAATAAACATAAACTTGCATAAAGTTAGATAAATTAACTAAAATCTCTTTTTATTATAAAAAGTAAACAATCAAATATTTCTTGCCAATTAACAAACACATTTTGCTTAATGGAAAATTTGTTGTTCGTTCGTGAAGACGAACGTGAAAATATAAAAATTTGATTACCATCATTTATCTAATGCTATGCTTATTTATTGTTTAGTGAGACTTTTTAATGAGTTTAATCATTTTGTTTGGTGTGATTGTTATAGCGCATAAATGTAAAAGTTACAGTTTGTATATATTTTAACATAATTATGTTACAATACTTTACAATTTACAGGCTCATTTATATATCCCGGAATTATTCCGGGATATTTATAAATAAGCCAGAAATTGAACTCAAGATTTTTCGGTCTAAAGCCTAGCATGACCAATGCGCCACTGCTGCTAAATTATAAAAAAGAAGTTAAAATCATTGACAAAAAATTATCAAAATATTACTGACCCCTCAGCATGTTTTAATATTGTTTAGAAAAAAAAAAGCTAAAACTATTCTCTGAAACAAAAAACAAAGAATCAAAGTATTCAATAAATATTCAAATATAGTAATTCTATAATTACAGTACTATAAATATATTTATAGTTTTTACACTAATATAAAATTTACAAAATGTTTAATAGTTTATTATTAATTTAAATAATTTAGTACAAAGTTATAAAATCTCATTATTAAGTTGATAAATAAAATTTACAAAATTTTCATCAAGAAATTTTATTTTATATTTTGATAATATTTTATTATTATTTTAAATTGATTGGGTTTTTGCAACAATTTTTTTTTATTTCTCAAATTAAGACTATAATGAATCAGAAGAAGATTCTGCAGATCCTTATCGTAGTACAGAAGATGATATAGATTTTCAACAAGAAATTGGTCCTTCACAAGAAGACATTGTTAATGCTACAGAACAAATTACAAAGAAAATTCAAGAGTTACTTTTAGCAGCTCAAAATGGACGAAGCAGTAGGTAAGCAAATAAGTTTCAAATCTTTAAAAAGAAGAATTTTTATAAGTCTTCAAAAATTTTTGTCTTTCACACCACATGGTTTCGCATCACCACTTCAGTTTCCCTATTCAGTAAATATTATATATAAATATAATATAAATATTAATGCATATAAATATTGGATTTTTTCTTTTATTACATTTTATGCATTAAATTTTTTTCAGATATGTACCTTGTTCAAGTAATATATCTGCAGCTGTAAATGATATGGCTAACTTATTTCCGAAGGTTTTTTTTTTTCTTTTAATGTACAATATTGTTTAAGAATAATATATAATATACTTTATCGGGCTTTTTTTTTTTTGTATGTCACTGTTTGTGTTGTTGTTGTCTGGTGTCTTTAGGCATCATGTTTCTTTATTTCCTTGTTTTCTCCAAAAAATATTAGTGTTACACAAATTCAGTTGAGATTTGGTTGTTTTTCTTTTCTGTAGTGAGGTCTGTTTTATTACAATAATGACTGAGATGATGTAGGCTACAGTCAATGATAGAGATGACAAGGGCAATTTATAAATTTACACTACTGTTTAAGAGTAGTAAGGCTAATTCTCCTTTAATTTATATTTTTTTAAAGTTTCTAAAAACTGGATATAGGTCCATTTCATATCAAATGAAATAAGTTTATAAAAATTTATTGCATTAACACCATTATCTAAGATTATCTAGAGATGGTGTCTCGATAAAAATACTCATCTTGGGCAGATGTTAAATGCCTTTGGCTGCTGTCTTTTAGAAGGCCTCCTAGGCAAAGATTTAAGGGGTAAACAGATTCTATCTGTTGACCAGCCTCACACCCCTTCTTCATCTATAAGGCTGGCGCTGATGTATTTTTAATACATTGTTTCCAGTTTAAGATGTTGAACGCTGCATCTTCTTGACTGGATGCATGGGTTTTGCATGTGTCTCTGTTTTTTTATGACTAGGCAACTCATTCTATTATCTCCAAATGAGGGTACAGCTCTAAAACTCAGTTTTATGGTTCTGAGGCCGGCTGGTAGTCAGGTTTCCTGAACTCTGTGGTAGCTCTCAGAGAGGCTGATTCCATCAACAGCTGAAAAATATCAGAGTACTAACAGTGCCATGTTGCGCATGGATGGTGTCCCTGTTTGTACTTTTGGTGTGCATTGCCAAGGCCACATTGCAAAGTTCACCAGACTTACTTGCTCTTTGTGAGACAAGCTCTTTGAGTTCAGCTGTCTCATGTTGTGATCTTAGTGTTAATGGTTATCTTCCTTTAATTCGTAAAGACTCCAATAGTCATATGCTTGGCCTGGGCATTTACATTTGTAAGAATTCACCCATTTGTCGGGAAACTAGGTTTGAATCCATAGACTACTCTTTTATGTGCTTTCGTTTAGCACCACTTCACTCTATCAACTTTCTCTTTGTTCTATATCGTTCTCCTTCATTTCAAGACTGCACTCTTCTTGATGTTATTTCTGATTATATTGACCAAGCCCTCATTCTTTATCCATCAGCAAATATTGTTGTTTTCGGTGACTTTAATGTTCATCACACTAAATGTCTTGGCTCTAGTGTCAGTGACTCTGCAGGCATTAAGGCCCACAACTTTTGCCTTTCTCAATCCCAAACTCAAATAGTCAACTTTCCAACTCGCTTTCCAGACTAACCAAATCATTTACCTTCTCTACTCGACTTATGTCTTGTTTCTGATCCTAGTCAGTGCTCAGTTTCTCCACATTCACCCTTAGGTTCCTCTGATCACAGTTTGATCTCTCTAGAACTGTTATCTCATTCTTCTTTATCATCAGAATCTCCCTGTCATTGTACATCTTACAACTAAGTCTAAAGCCCGCTATTCTCAGATCATGAAATCTCGTATTTCATCACAAAAATAAGGCTCTCGTGACTTCTGGAGAATCTTTAATAGTATTAATAATAAGGGCAAGTCTGTAATTCCTCCTCCTTTGTATGGTTCAGACTTTGTTACCTCACCTAAAGACAAAGCTGAATTGTTTGCCAAAAACTTTTCATCAATATCATCTCTTGATTCCACTAGTTGCGTTCTACCTGATATAGCCGTCAAACAGGTTGATCCATTGCTCAACATCCGTATCACTCCAGCTTCTGTATCTAAAGTGATTTCCTGCTTAGACTCTTCTACAGCTTGCGGCCCGGACAACATACCTGTTATAGTCTTGCAGAAGTGTTCTCCGGAGCTGTTGTCTATCCTTTCAAAACTATTTAACAAGTGCTTATCAGAGTCTTGTTTTCCAGCCTGCTGGAAAGCAGCATATGTTATCTCTATTTTAAAAAATTCTCTAAAAAAACTACTGTCCCATTAGTCTTCTTCCTATCATAAGCAAGGTTTTTGAACTTTAATTAACAAATACTTAATATCTCATCTCAAATCTCATAACCTACTTTTTGATCATCAATATGGATCAATAATTAATTTGCTATCAGTAATAACCGATAGGTTTTATCGCGCATTAGATAAAGGTGGAGAGGTTAAGGCCATCGCTCTTGACATTTCTAAAGTGTTTGATAAGGTTTGGCATGCTGGTCTTCTCCATAAGCTTTTTTCTTACGGTGTATCTGGAAACATCTTTAAGATTATTGAATCCTTCTTTTCCAATCGTAGTATAAAAGTTGTCCTTGATGGGCAGCATTCTTCTTTTTATTCTGTAACTTCAGGGGTTCTCCAAGGGTCAATCCTTGGCCCTATACTCTTTTTAATTTATATTAACGATCTTCCAGATATTCTCACATCTAAGGTGGCATTGTTCCCTGATGATACTACCATTTATTCTTGTCATGATAAGAAGCTAACTCCCTCTGATTGCTTAAAAAGGATCTCACTTCTGCTACAGCATGGGGCTAACAGTGGCTAGTGAACTTTAATTCAGATAAAACTCAATTTTTTTCAGGCACTCCTTATCGCAATAATTAAGACCTTCCTATATTAACGGTAATGTACTCGATGAATCTCCTACCCTTCATTTTCTAGGATTAACTTTTACTTCTGATCTTTCTTGGAAACCTTATATCAAATCCGTTGCAAAATTAGCATCTGCTAAAGTTGCTTCTCTTTATCAAGCTCGTCACTTTCTTACTCTGGATTCTATTTTCTATCTCTATAAATCTCAAATCCGACCTTGTATGGAATACTGTTGCCATATCTGGGGTGGATCTTCTAATGATGCGCTTTCTCTTTTAGACAAAGTGCAAAAACGTATTGTAAACATAGTTGGACCTGCTCCTGCAGCCAACCTTCAACTTCTGTCACATGGTCGTAATGTTGCTTCTCTTTCTCTTTTCTACAATACTATAATGGGTACTGCTCTAAAGAGCTAGCGTCTCTTGTGCCATTTACTAAAATTCATTCTCGTGTTACACATCATTCAATTAAGTCTCATCCTTTTTCTGTTACTGTTCCTAAGTACTCCAAAAACTCTTATTCGTCTAGTTTTGTTCCTCGAACATCAGTTCTTTGGAATTTGTTTGCTTCATCTTGCTTTCCTGATTCATATAATTTGCAATCTTTTAAGTTGTCTGCCAAACGTTATCTTGCTCTACAATCTTCATCTTTTCTCTTCCAGTAACTTCCAACACTAATTAGTGGTTGCTTGCAGCCTTGTTAGAAGCAAAGGTGTTTAAAAAAAAATTGTCTTGAAATTAAATTTTTTAGGTTATTTTGGAAAAATGAATTTTCTCAAAGTTTTATTCTCTATTATGGCCATTTTAAAAATTAAATTTTTTTTTTGAAAAATGAAAGTCAAAAGTTTGAAATTTAATTTTTGTAGTTTTTACAACAGAGTTTTTGACCATGAGTCTTTATCTTTTACAGCAGTTTTTTTTGTTTGTTGATCTAAAGAGTTTTAAAAAATAAAAAAAGTTCACTTATTAAAAGTATTAACTCTATTGTTTAGTATACAAGAAGCATAAAAACCATGGACTAAGTAATTAATTTAATTAGAAAGAAATTTAAATAATTTTTGTGGGCTTTCTTTAATATTATATGCTTGAAAAGAAAAAGAGTTACTTAAGTTATAGGAAATCATTTCTTAATACTTTTGTATTATTATTATTATTATTATTTACTTAATACCTTATTTGGGTTACAACAATACTTTTGTGAGGTTTTGTAACATGTAAGAAACATATTTTCATGACGTGTTTTTATTTAAAGTTATGCCACATCTCCAAGCCTAGCCTGTTCTAGAAAAAAAAAGTTTCTGCCACATTTTTTATCCTTAAACTAATTTTTTTTTTAAATGGCTTTTCAATAAAAATACCTCGCATGAAGGATTTTTATGATTTTTTTTTTTTATTCATTTTTTTATTTGCATTTTTACTATAGGATACACATGAAAATTACATGGGGCATTGGTTGCCCTTGCATCTGTTTAAAAATTTATATTCCTTCTCGAAATCCAAATACTATATTGTGTATGTTACTATATTTGTATATTGTGTTAATATATAACAGCCTGGCAACTTTATTTTTGTTTTAAATGGTTGAAAACATTAAAAGTATGAAATATCTTGAAAATGAAACATGTAAAATTATCAGTATGAATGTATCAATATTAAACACTCATAATATTTTCTTATTATAGAAATCAATCTATAAAAGTTTTTAAAAATATTTTAAATAATAATATTTTAAACTAAATATTTTATTTTGTTTAAAATTTCTAATAAGTTAATCAATTAAAATAAAATATCTTTAAAGAAAATTTAAAATCAAATGTTACTATGTTCAAAATAATTCCAATCTACTATATTTTAATAAAACAACATAACTTGTATTTCTTTATGTATTCCAATTAGCTTTATTACTATTGAACTTTTATTTTAGTCTGAAAAATTTTTTTAAACAAAAGTAGTGGTGGATTACTTTGATTTTTAAGTTGTGAAGATAATTTTTATTTATATATTTTTAAATAAATCTTTAAAAAAAACAAAAATTTTTGGCATAAAAATGCTTAAAAATATTGAGTTAAAAATTTGATTTTAAAAAAATGATATTCTTTTATAAAGCCAATTTGAAAATCTTAATGACCTAGGAAGGTCCTCATCTCAAAATCGTCAAGATTCATTTGATAACTAATACCCACATGTATGTTGGAGTGCGCATAAAATACAGTCATATACCCTCAAAGATTTATTTTACTTTAGTGGCCCCCTCTACCTTTCAAAGGTAGAGGGGGCCACTATATATATTTATTCAACTTTTTCAAATTTTTTGATATCTTCCTTTAAAAAAATTTTTTTAAAGTTGAAAAAATTATTTTTTGAGACCTTTATATCTTTATAATGTTCTTAGTTTTGTTGCTTTTAAAATGTCTTAAATTATTTATTACATAAATAATAATTAGTAAAGTATTTAATTGCACAATAATCAGTGAAGAAGTCTTCTGTCACTGTTTAGTGGTTTTTAAAAAAATGAGTTTATAAATGAACTAGTTTACTTTTCTGTCAGAATTTATTTATTCTACAATTGTATTGATCATACACTTGTTAATCAATTTTGTTAAAATTATTTCAAAAATAAATCAGGATTTTGTAACAGAAAGAAAGAGTCGTATAAGCATTGAATTGAGCATTGAAACACTTTAACTATAATTTATGAAAGTTTGAAGAAAAATTTAAGTAAAAAATGTAATTTTAAGGACTTAGAAACAAATCCCCAAAAATTGAGAGTTTAGTTAGATGTATTTATGTGTTTGCTTATCCAATGTCCATGTTTATGTGTGTATGCATAATTTTATTTTATATTAAAAAATAAAAACTATTTTCATGTTTATTTTATGTTTATTCAAAGTGTTGAAAAAATTTATATATATAAAGTGTTGCACAAATTTGTATAACTTCAATGTTAACCTCATTAATAAATGATGCAGATATTCAGAAAATATTGGACGTTAAACCAGATATAAAGACTGTTGTTCTGTAAATATATATATATATATTTTTTAATTTGTTATTTATATGATAAATATTTTTCCAGCATCCTAGCGCTGAAAGTGTTCGCATGGCATTGCGTTTGATGATAACAAGTGCAGCTAGATTACAAGTTGAATGCAGGAGTAGTGCTTTGCCTGAAAGAAATGTTGATCAAGCTATGTTAACTCAGCAAGTATGAAACAATTTCAATTTGTATTTTTTTTTTTTTTTTTAGTTAATAAAATAGATTTCCAAATAGTTTTCAGATATGTTTAAATTTTAATATGGATTTTGTAAATATGTTCAAGTATGTCAATATCTTTAAGTGTGTCAATATAAATTTATGTTCAAGTGGCAGGATGAATAAAAAAAGTATCAATAGAAAAAAAAAATCTTGTTGTCAATTAATTAGACAATTTATTAAAATAATAAAAGCTTTTTGATTTTTGAAAAATTATATCAAAACCTGTCCACATACCCACATGTGGACATCTGAAAGATATCTGGCCACATACCCACATGTGGACATTTGAAAGATATCTGTTCACATACCCACATGTGGACATCTGAAAGAAATTTGAAGAAACTTTAAAGTAATAGTACTAGAACTTTATAGTACTAATAAAAGAAAATTCTAAAATTACCGAATCTCCCTCCTTTTCCTGACTTATAACAGGTTCAATATTTGCCTAGCATTATTGCTGTGGTTGATTTCTGTCAAATTTACATTTTTTTTTTTTTTTGCAAAATTAAATATGGAAATCAAAAGAAAAGCTAAAATTGATACATTTAATAAAAAGTTTTTGATAAAAATTTTTCTTTGATGCTTTAGTAATTGCTTTATTAAATTATTAAATAGTAATTAGTTTTTGTGTAATTTAGATAAACAATAAAAGGTTTACACATAAACAAAACGGCAGAAAAATAACTATATCCATTTACAAAAACTATACTCATTGTTTACTTTTTAAAGCTTTGAACAAAAAAAAATTAACTTTGAAAATTTTGTTTATTAACTAATTAAATATAAAGATTCAATTAATTAATAAATAAAATTTTTAAAGTTAATTTTTTTTTTTTCAAAGCTTTAAAAAGTAAACAATGAGTATAGTTTTTGTATATGGATATAGTTATTTTTCTGCCGTTATGTTTTTGTGTGAACCTTTTGTTTATATTTTGAAGGAGTTTTGTGTGTTTCATAATATCCTGTATACAATTTATGTATATATATATCTAATTTATGTTCTGCATGTATGTTTGATTGCATAGTGTCAGCTACTATATTATTTTTTTTATATTAAAAAGTGTCATAATTCTTTTATAATTTAAACAGCTAAGGAGGAATTGGTATATGTTTGAGGTTTTTTTTATTTTATTTTTTATTAAATTCTTAATTATTATTTTTAATCATTATTTTTTATTTTTTGTTCATTTTTTTCTCTTTTTTATTTTTATTTTTAACTCTTTTAATTCTAAACTCCGAAACCTTGCAGTTGTGGAGAAACTGGCTGAGCGTAGAGAAACTGACTCAATGTGGAGAAACCGGCTGAATGGTTCTACCACTTATGTTTGTGTTGACTTATGAGTCGCTTGCGTTTGCATATTTTTTTAATAATTAGTCTGCACTGTGAATCAAAATTTATTTAGATAAGGCATTAAGTGTATCTTTTGAAAACATAATGCTTGTAGTAATGTCCAACTTAAAACTTCATATCATCATGCCATACTTTAGGTGAAATAAAATTATCAGTTAAACGTTATTGAAATTTACCTACTAATTAAGTGTAATGCATCATTAATTCTTTGATAAAGAAATAGTTGATGTTTAAAGATGTAGTTTTATTTTCTAAAATGAAATCAATTTCATGTCTCAAAATTAAAGCTAGCACATAATGCTGGCAACGCCCTAGTCTGTTAACAGTGACTGATAACTGATTACTTTTTTATTTTTCTCATTTTTATTGGGGATTGTAATCACTTTTTTTACTTTTGAGTTAAATTTTTTTTTTTGGTGTATTAATTACTTAATCTTTTGCAAGTTTCCTTTAAATTTTTGATATATAAACTTTAGTTTGATTTGCCACGTAACCCATCTAATTGGAAATTAAATTCTCCTATACTTCTTTAATGTCCATTTTATATTACTTGATATATTAAGTATTTTGTTTAACTCTTCTTTTTGTATTGTGTTTTAATGTTTGTTTGTTTTGTTATTTTTTTAGGTTTTTTTTTGATAGTTTAAAACAAGATTTTGCACCTTTCTAAAAGCTGTTTTGTAAGTTGTAGAAGAGAAATTCAATTTGAATTTCCCTTCAATCATTGAGTTCAGAGCGTGGTATTAGGCAATACTTTTACATCTAACATTTGCAGCTTTTTCTTTTACATCACAGAAGACTTAAAAGGTTGTAGAAAACATGAAGATGAGAGAAAAATCAAAAGGATTGAAGTGTGAGGAAAAAACTATTGCCGATTTAAATGTAAGATTGTCGGGAATGTAGGTAATGTTGATATGAAACAATACAGAAACAAAGATAGAACCTTGTGGTACTCTAAAAGTTACTGGAAATGAAGAATATTGGCATATAAGGATAAATACTGCGGTTAGTTAAAAATAATTTAATAATCTCAATAAAAGAAAGAAAACTTTCTAGATACAATGAAATAAGCTTATTGAGAAGACCAACATGCCAAACTTTATCTAAAACTATTAGTAATTTGTTAATTACAAATATTCTAAGACATCGCTAGTAATAAAGAGAAGATTGATCGGGTGATAGTTGGAGGGGTCAGAGTGTTTAATTGGAACCATTTTTTTTTTTCTAAAAGTTTTTAATAATATTTTTAAAAATTTGTTCACCTTCTTCTGGTCAATAGAGACCAGATTGTTCTTTTTTGGGGGTTGAAAAAATGAACGATTCATCTAAAGATTTGTTTCTTTTGTGATTTTAGAGTAAAAATATTCATAAAAGATGAAGAATGTTTGGGCTTTTATATTTGCATTTGATTTTGTAAGGAAATCTTTTAAGATGGCAGAAATTTATTGGAACATGTTAACTAAATAAAGTCATTTGTTGTTATTATTAGAATTAGTCAAAATTGAAATACAGGAAGTTAACTTACAGGGTTAACGTACAGGGAAGTAATTTAAAATTTATTACTTTTTATAAAGTTCTGTCATGTCCATTTTCTAATGACACGAGTATTAAAAAAATATTACGTTAACAAAAACTGTTTATTTTGATATTAATTTAAAGGTGTTTTGCTTTGTTAGTGATTCATAAAAGTGTTTTTGGAATCTTTTTAGAAATTTTTTAAATGTTAAATTAAAATATTAATTAAATAAAGTATTTTAAAACTTGTATGATCACAATTAAAATAAAAATAATTTATGAAAAGCAGTTGTTGTTTTTTTTTGTGTTTTTTTTTTTTTTTTTTTGGTTTCACTCCATTGATTATTTTCTTTTTATTTCTTTTTACTTTTAGGTCATTCAATGTGCATACGACATTGCTAAAGCTGCAAAACATCTTGTTACAACATTCAACTCCGCTTGATTTAATATCTTAGCAACACTCAAACCATTTCTAATTGTAAATACATATCTTTCTATTTTGAAAATTTTATTTGAATATTTCAAGACAAAAGTAAGCTGGTAAAAGTTTCCAATTATTGAGTAGAAGACTGGTAGTATTTTTTGAAAAAAGTAATTCAAGAGTCTTTTTCTCCTTTCGTTTTTACAAATTCTTTATCATTAGTTATTTTTACTTGTTTTTGTTTTTCTATCTTTCAATAAAACACCTTTGTTTTATGGTTTTTTGAAATTTTCAACTAAAATCTCCATTTTTAAAATCACTTTTTAAAATAGTTTTTTGTTTTTGTTTTTAAATTAAGTTTGACGTAAAATGCTACCTAATAGTTAATTAATTTAGTTTTTTTTTAAATCAACTTTGAAGTAGTATACTACCTAATAATTTATTTAGTTAACATAAACTATAACTTAAAACATAGGCACAAATAGTGAAGTTATGAATTTTCTAATGTTAATAAATATTTGTTTATTTGTATCATAATAACGAAATAATTTTATATAAAAACTGCGTTTTAAAAATTGAATTTTTAAAATTGATTTTAGGCCACTTCAAATGATACGTTAAATCAGTGTTTCAGTTAGGGACTTTACTTGAAAAATTTTCAAGTTAATGATTTATTATTTTTAAGTTTTGGTATGTAAGATCATTAAGCACTTTTCGTAGCAGGTTATACTTGAACGGTTTTCCCAATTGAATATCAATTAAGAGACAATCGGAATCCGTTATTTTGTGTCAGGTATTTTAAGAAACTTTGGTGCTTACATAATCTTACATCTTCGAATAATATTCTTTTTTAGATTTCTTATTATGATATTAAAACACCTAAGAATTTAGAGTTGGAAATGTGATTAAGTTCTTCAATTCAGTTAAAGTTGAGGTGTCATAAATATCAGTATGAGATTGGAAAAGATTCTGCAAACATTTACTAGAGACTTTGTAGAAGTTGTTTGCATAGATTAAATATAGTAGTGGTTCAAAAAAAAGTTAGGCGGGATAAAATTATTTGGTTTTAAATTTTAAAATTTTAACTTGATTTAAAATGAGCTACTGCGAGTAAATAATTACAAATATATTCGCTATCCGCCCCTGGTTACAAAAATAAAAAAACGTTCAACTTAATATGTAGTTTTATAGTAAAGATTATGCTAAAGATGATCCTTTCTTCAGAATTGAATTTGCTTGTTCTATTCATAATGATGTTTATCATAATTTTTAGAGGCAATTCTACGAATAAAATGAGGGGGTGAGTTTTAAAAAAATACCGACTGGTTCCTTTAAAAAAAAAAAAAAAAAGACGACTGAATTGTGTGAAGTACCTAATTACCGACTAAATTCGTCAAAAAACCGAATATATAAGGTGATTGAAAAATCCCTCTATATAAGGTGATTTTCGCCCCCTCCTCCTTGATACGCACACCTAAAATCGCATCTGATAATTTGTAGTGCCTTTTTAATTTTTTTTTAAAATCAGTACTTTGAAAATACTGTCTCTCTCTCACTCTCTATTTGTTTTTAGTTTGCTGGAATATCCAATATTACAATACAATATTACCAATAATCGTTGAAAACATAAGACTTAATCGACTATAATAACCGCTTAATACTCTAAAGATAGAATTTCTTGATAAGTTGTTTGTTTAAAATAATAAAAGAAAATACTCGGATGTGCTTTCAAATTTAGCTAGATTAGTTACATTATTTTAATTCTATCGCACACTTCGGAACTTCTTCGATTTAGTCAAAAAGGATTTGATTCATAGCATTAAAACAACTTCTTCAGTTAAAAGTAACGATTCATAAAATTAGGAAAATATCTTAAAAAAGAAGCCTAATATTTGTTTAGTTTCTTCTGAGTATTTTAATTATTATTCGAGCTTCAATAAAGAATACGAGGCGTTTGCTTTTTATTTTACAAGGTGTAGTCAGTCCAAAAAAATTGAAAGTTAAAAAAAAGTAAAAACTCGTGTTTTTTTTTTTTTTTTTTTTTTGATAAAATTCCTTAATGGCGAGGAAAGCTTATTAAATCGAATTTTAAAAAGTTGGTTACATTATTTAACGCATGTAAGTTGACTGTTTTTTACTCGCACTTAGGACTTTAAGCAAGCTAAGAACATATTGAATAAAATATTGAGAAACTGAACAGTTTTTTAATTTAATATTGCCTTAACGTAGCAGCAAAAATTCGATTTAGTCAAAAAGAATTTGATTCATAACTTACAACAACTGAAATAATTATGGACGAACCCCTTTTGAAAGTGAATTGTAGAATGTTTTTAATAGTCTTAAAAAAAAAAGTGAAGGTATTGATCAAATTAATGTTAATGTAAGTAAATATGTTTTTAACATTATTGAACACTCATGATACCATATTTTTAATCTCTCACTTAAATCAGGTCATATTACGGATAAATTGAAAATTGAAAAAATAACGCCTATTTACAAATCCAGTGATGAGACTGTTATTTCAAACTACAGACTTCAGTTTTGCCCTGCATTACTAAACTAGTTAAACGCATTATGTATAACAGACTTTATAAATATTTAACTGAAAATAAGATTTTATACTGTAATCAATATGGTTTTAAAAAAAACCATTCTACTGATCATGCAATAATTGAATTGGTTAAACATATATCAAATGGATTTAATAGTGATTACTATACAATTGGAGTTTTTATTGATGCATTCAAAGTTTTCAACACAGTAAATCATGTGATTTACTATGTTGAAAGCTTTCTTTAGTTTAAATCATATTAACTTACAGAAAACAATTTATACTTAAATCTAACAACCTTTGGGGTACCCCAAAGTTCTATTTTAAGACCATTATTGTTTTTATTTTTTATAAATGACTTTTATTTAAAAATGTTAAATGCTATCTTATTTGCAGACTATTCTCACAAAAATTTTATTGTTATTTTTAAAATTTTAAGGAAAAATTAAATAAGATCAACGAATGGTTTATAAGTAACCAACTTTCATTAAATGTAGAAAAAACAAAATTTATTCTCTTTCATAAACCTAGTAAAGCCGATAATATTCCTTTTAAATTGCCCAATCTTTTAATCAATAACATAATAGTTAAAAGGGTATAACTATAAATTATTTAATACTATAATAATATTATATGTATAAACTTTCTAGGAGAAATGAAAAATTGTCATGGAAATTCCATACTAAATATATCGAAAAAAATATCTCAAATATTCCCTGTTATATCAAGTAAAACCGTTTTCAAATATCTTTGTTTGAAAACAGTTTAAAAGGTTTTGAATTAAATAAATCATTTAATATTATTACATTTTCTTTAGCTTTTGCTTCTAATTGTTTCCTTTTTGTTTGTTTTTTGTTTTTTTGCAGATATTAATTAGCCCTAAATACTTTTTTATATTGTATTATTTTTAATAAAACTTAACGCAATTTTTTGTGATTGATAATTTTTATAATTATCGCTCTTTAGTCTTATTTTTTAAAATTATTCCGCTGCATGATGATTAGCAAAAATTTATTTTATCGCTTATTAGTTATGTAAATTTTTAAAAATGTTTGAAAACACCAATGTAACGGACCTTGGTGATAAGTCTTCTTCTTAGGTTTTTTGTTATTGTAATTTCTTTTTTGTAATTTTTAACGAACGGAAAAATTAAAAAAAAAATTGAAAAACTCCAATTTAAAAAGAAAAAAATGCTTCTGAGTTTGAATAATTGATTTAACATATTTAACTAATATATTTAATTTTAATTAATATATTTTCTAGTTTGTTAATTCCAATAATTGGGATAATGCAAATAATGTGTGTATTAAAAATCCTTAATTATTAATCAATTTTTTCTTCTCTCGGCTAAAAAAACACCCGGCAATTTTAAATATATGCATTTATCCATAAATCCATTTGTAAATTGAACAAGTACATAAGCGATAAAATTGAACAAAAACATAAGCGATGTATAGAGAGATACATAAGCGATAAAATGTTCTGTAACTTTTATCATTAATTCGCATGTACAAAATACAAATGAATATGAACAAACGCACATTAAGAATCTAAACAAATACATAGGGTAGATTAGGGTATAATGAGCACCTTAAGGGAAAATTTGCATATTTTCAAAAGTAATTATGCTGAATTCAAAATTTTTGCGAACAAACATTTTTTAGGGATCCTTACTCATGATCCACTTAGATATTTGGGCACCCGAAATTTTTTCTTAAAAACACTGAGGTTTTAAAAAAGACTACTTGGTAATATAACTACTTTATATTAGCTCAAAAAAATAACATTAATTAAGTAAAGAATACCAACCTGACAATTAGAACTAATTTTTGGAATATAATGATTCGTTATTAACAAAACTCATCATTAAAAGAAAAAATTTTAAGCCACTTTTTCTTGAAACAATACTACTGTGTTTTCCGCAACAAAAAAAAAAAGAAAAAGAAAAAAGAAATTAGTTTGTTATTTTTTCAATTTTATTAACTCCAACCTTTGAAAGATAAAAAGTTAAATTTTTTTAATTTAAATAACAGAAAAATATTTAATATTGTTAAAATATTAAAATTTTTTACTATGTTTTGTTTTTATTCAAAAAAATTAAAACCAGCGCTATTTTAGGAATTTAAACTAGGTGATTTCAATGAAAAACCCTGGGTAATTTGAGCATGCTTATAACACAACACATTATTACACAAAAATGGCATCTTTAAATAAAGTCAAAACTAAATGTTTCTATGCATTGTTTTTTAAACAAAAATGGAAAGGATTTTTAGCTAACCTATTTTCTTTATGAAAAAATTAATTTTATTATTTTAACGCCAAAATTTATCCGTGATGATATTATTTTAACAAAGCAAAAAATTTGATAGCGTTTCAATTTTAAATTCTCCAACAAAGCCTTTTCACTTCATACCATAATTTTTTCCTTAATTCGGTTTTTATTTTTAAATTTTTTTATGTAAAGTTTTGGAGAGAATAAGAAAGAATCTATTTAACAACATACTATGCATAAATCAAACAAAAGTAGAACACCAACGATGAATTCGTAAAACATATGGAATAAAAAAATAGAAACAAAGCAGAGGAGGGGAAATGAAAAACAACACCGTACTTATTGATTACTATATTCTTTTTCGTTATTACCATTATTATGTTCTGGCACGTCTTTAGGAAATATATTTTTTCTCTTGACCAAATTATTTTGAAATGAAATTTTTTACGCGTTTAGCAATAAAATTAGCTGCCATTAGCTGATAAAAAACTTAATTTATTATGTAATTTATGGATAGATAACTGATATTATTGTTGGTTTACAACAGTCAATGTTACCCTCTATATGGGGTAGCATTAACATTATTATATTTTCAGCTGTTAATTTACATCGTGAGTAATGTTATTATTGTAGCTTTGACAAAAAAAATGATTGAAAACATTTTAAATACTAAAAAGCTTTAAAAAGTTGTTGCTATGATAATGAAGATATCAATTAGCTTCAGTTCTAAGAATGTCT